ACTGTTACTTTTATAAAGAAAAGTAAAACAGCTGCTTTTAATGCTCCGTATACCTAGTGTTGAATTAATTGAAAATTCACCGTTTCTCCTCAAATCTGTTCTGGTTGCAGCATTAAAAAATCATTATACATACAACTAGGAATCATTTGTTTCTATCACGGCGATAATTTTCAACCTTTTAATTACTCGTAAATAAAACCTGAATTTGTAGTAATGTTATTTGAGCAATGTGAACGAATACGTGATTTTTTGAATAAAAACGGTTCGCGTAATATGCGCGTATATATTTTAAACACTTATATTAAAACCCTTCTTTTCTGTAACACTTTTATAACAACGTTGAAGAAGTATATTTTTACTCTGCTTACGTAAGTCTACTCTGTTACGTGCCTACTTGCAGCCGTTCACACGGACAGAATGACATTGAAAATCGAACAGCGCACTCCAGATGCCGATGACCCCTCATTGATCGGGGAAAACATTGTACCGAGATGGTATAGCATTTCGAAGCTGCTAGTTTTTCTTTCGCGGTAATATTTACCTGCTTAGGGAGAAAATGTACTACCGATCGATCAGATATTCGTACTCGAGATCAGTTCGCCGCGAACATCCGCGTATCGCGCATCGGCGAGCAATCATTTCCAAAACAATACTCGCCTGTTTCCGATACTTTTAAATAATCATTTTTTCTATCGGTCCTTATGTGTCTCTTACAATTTTTCAAATTTTTTACTTTCTTCTATTCCTGGGTTTTCTACGTGTCGGTGTACGTTTACTATTATCTCCGGTTCATTATCGTGCTGCTTCACGTGTCTTTGTATATTTTTGTTCGACAATGCGTGAGAAGACATTAGCACACGAATGAACACCGAGAACACTTCGTGATATTCGCAGTGTTGGTGTGTAAAGACAGAAAATGGAAATTTTAAAAGTCGCACTCCGCAGAAGGTAAATTATTTGAAATTGTAAAATGTTGTTAATATTTTAGTGTAGTTAATTAATTTTGAGTAACGCAAATCTTTTTTATATTTCAAGAAATGTGGTTATTCTTTTATCTGGGTCACTTTTGAGTTTAATCAGAATTTTTTTTATATGCGTATATTTTCGATATGTTTTTTAATACGAGATATTGCGTAGTCAAATTGGTGAACCAGCAATGAAATGCATGCATCAAGTAAATGTAAATGCTCCATAATTATACACTTTTGTTTTTCTTCTTTTTTATTCACTTACATTATTATTTTCTTTTATTTTATCTTGTTTGCTCATTCATCATAGACATTTCATAGTCGATCTAGCTAGATACAATGTTTCATCTCATCACAATTCTTTCATTTCCGAGGAAACAATTCACAATTTTAATATACTTATTATACTTATCTTTACGTTTATACTGTTTAAAAAAATAATTTTCTTTCCACAACCTTTCTTCAACAACCTCTTTCATGAAAGGATTATTTATTTCATATTGACATTCGCGTAATTACAGTTATTTCTTAACTATTGAGTCATGCAGAAAATTGTCTCGACATTTTAATGTTTAAAGTACCGTAGAAGAACTTTCTTACATTTTTCTGGTAGCTATGGAATTTTATATTCGTATAAATCTTGTGTTTTATTGGCAAAGTACAAACACTTCTTTTAACACCCTCACAAATCGAAGTTCTTTCGAAAAACGAAACAACTTTCCGAACGACCCAATAATTAAAAACAGTAACAGTTCAATCAATCTCCGATTCGAAGTTTGATCTGTTGCACTTGGAGAACTTGTTTTTATTACCTACCAAAAACTCGAACATATTTATTGGCAAGGTAGTAACATTTTAAACAAAATATAAAATCATAGAACGTTGGAAATAATAAGACTGTTTAAATCAAATTTAACGAAAGATTGCATCGATACGGCTTTTACGAAATAAAAATTGTTAATTTTGAAAACACTATTATTATCAGCAGTTTCGTTAAGCTCCCCGAGAAGGAACATTTCAGAGGGTTAAAGTGCACGTAGCAGTACCATTTCCCGCAAGGGTGGCTACCAGTTGCGTACGAACGGCGACGTACGGCACGGGACACGGCGATTTCGAAATTAGGTAATTAATTTAGTGGCCCGCCGGGGCCACGCTTTCCAGATGACGACGGTCGCAGCTCTGTCCCTGCACGTACTCGACCCTTGATCGTTCCAAGTAGCGGCCGCCTACTTGCGTAATACACAGATACGTTTTGAATAATGTCGTTAAGCGCCGTGGACATTAATCGACAACACGTGGACAAGAGTTACGGGGACGCAACAGTTTATCGATTGGGTCCCCCTTTTTACGCTCCGGAAGACATTTCGAGCGATTAAATTCTGCCCCTCTGCGCCGCTTGCCTTTGCTCGACTACCCTGCAATTTTATAGTAAACACGCGATGGCCGCGTGTTTCACAGATTTTGGAGAACGTGCACTGCACTCAATTTAGCGTAAGTACAAATTACAGGCAGACGGTAATTTATTAAGCGAAATGAACGAAAGCTTTTACCACACTGAAATCTTTTTAAATTGTATTGTTTTATAGTCTCAGAGATGATTTTCTGCGAAATTCTTCAATTTTTTCGACACTCATTTTAGGGAGATGTTTATGGCATCGTGAATATTTGTTGTTTAGAGACTATATTATAGTGATTATAAGAATGTTTCAGTCTCGTTATTAATTCCATTTATTTATGTAAATAATTCTGTATTCGAATAATTCTCTTTGTTACTATCCTTATGTTAATAAATTATTCCAGTAATTCTTTGTTATTGTTTTTATTTTAATAAATTATTCGAATAATTCTGTATTATTATAGTTATTTTAATAAATTATTTGAATAATAATGTGAATAATTGTTGGCTGTGTTTGCTTTTGTCATTTTTTAAGAATATATGTATTTGTACGAATCCTTATGTTAATAAATTATTCCAGTAATTCTTTGTTATTGTTTTTATTTTAATAAATTATTCGAATAATTCTGTATTATTATAGTTATTTTAATAAATTATTTGAATAATAATGTGAATAATTGTTGGCTGTGTTTGCTTTTGTCATTTTTTAAGAATATATGTATTTGTACGAATCCTTATGTTAATAAATTATTCCAGTAATTCTTTATTTTTACTTTTATTTTAATAAATTATTCGAATAATTCTGTATTATTATATTTATTTTAATAAATTATTTGAATAACAATGCGAATAATTGTTGACTGTGTTCGCTTTT